CCCATGAATAGGTCTAGCCCCAACAAAGTGGTATTAAGCTCCCAAGTTGGTGTTTACAAGGTGTTTATGAAATTGCTTAAAAGATAATGGCAACAAAAGGTACAAGTTCTTAATTCCAGATTGAGAGGTTTGATGGCAAAGGTAGCTTTACCTTATGGAAAAGGAGGGTGAAGGACATCCTAGTTCAACAAGGCTTGTCTAAAGTGTTGAGGTAAAAGATGGGAAGCTAGAAAACATGAAGGGTGCTGATTGGGAGGACATCGAGTCAAGGTATGTTACTATGATTCGACTGCTCATGGCTGATAACATTATGTTTAACATTATGGAGGAAGATTCTGCACCAAAATTGTGGAAGAAGTTAAAGAAACTTTATCTAGGGAAAAGCTTAACCACAAAGTTATATTTGAAGTGCAGTTGTATGGACTGAAGATGGAAGAGGGTGGGAATCTCCTAGAACACCTAAATGTGTTCAACAATATCTTGGATCAACTAGAAAAAGTTGATGTCAAGGTGGAGAAGAAGACAAGGCTCTTTCGCTTCTTACCTCACTTCCCAATTCATATGAAAACTTGGTGGCAACGTTGTCGTATAGGAAAGATACGGTGGAGTTGGAAGAAATCACCACATCTCTTCTATCCAATGAGGTTAGGAGGAAGCCCAAGCATGAGAGTAGGTAGGATTCTGCATTGGTTATGCAAGGAATGAATCGGAAAAGAAAGTCATCTGACAAGGAATCTAAGAGTGGCAAATCTAGATCCAAGGTCAGGGAAAAGGGCAATGTACAGTATTACAAATGCAAGGAGTTTGGTCATATAAAGAGAGATTGTCGTGCATGAGAAAGGAGTGGAGATGAATCTAGAAGTGTGGCAATTGCACTAGATGATGATAGAGACATTTTCATAGACTCTGAAGATATGTGCAATTTTTCTCCAAATGAGTGGGTTTTAGATACTGGGTGTTTTATGCATGTTTGCTCCAAGATGAATATTTTGATATGTTCAAAGAGAGGAAGATGGGTGTCGTCTCCTTGGGATGGATCTATGTGTGATATCACAGGTGTTGGGATAGTGAAAATCAAAATGTTTGATGGAGTGGTTCACACTTTGGGTGGTGTAACATATGCCCCAAAAATGCATAGGGATCTAATATCACTTAGCCAGTTGGTTTCCAAGGGTTGCAAAGTCTTTGTTGCGGGTGGGTTCATGAAAACCACACACAATGGTATGGTCCTGACAAAGGAAGAAAAATGCAAGGGGTTGTATCATCTGATTGAGATTACAATGGTTCCCAAGACCTCAATGGGATGTTGGAATCAAAATCTACAAGGTTGTGGCCACATGGAGAGTCTCTTTCACAATTAAGGTGGAGACAAGGGATACAAGTTTCTAGTACAGATGATGGTGAGAGGAATGTTCCTGTTGGGAGAAAGGAAGAATTGAGGTACCTCTCTAGAGTTTTTTTTTATAGGTAACAGAAAATATTTCATTATATAGACAATAATATAAGGAAAGTGATACAACCAAGGAGTGAGTACCCCTTAGAGCATGTGTAACAGTTAAGTCCTATGCAATCATTCCCTGCCCAATGCTTACCCACAAGATCAGGTTAACATTTTTTCTCCTTAAAACAGCTAAGCCCAAAATACCTATTTCCTTACAACCCCTTGCCTTGCTAAAGAGTCTGCCATCCCATTAGCCGCCCTTGGAACCCACTGAAAGGATATTGCCACGCCTCTTAGGTGCCATTTAGTTTTCTTCCCAAGTCTCAGTAGGTCCAAGTTGCCTTCTTGTCATTCTTTAGCCAGTATAGCAGACAATTCAGCCTTGGTTGAGTCTCCTTGGGCAATAGGGTAGGGCCTAAGAATAGAGCTAAGATAGTTCCCTCTTTATCCCTAAACCCCTCCTATGCCTGAAGGACCTGGGTTACCAAAGCAGCTCCCATCAAAATTGGGTTTAATGAAACTTTCTGGAGGTGGCTCCCAAACCTAAACTATTCTATTCTTCCATGTAGAGGAATAGGCCACTTCCCTACACTTCCTTTTTAAGTCATCAAAGGAAAATAGAGAGAACACTTCTAGGGACTTAACCCAATGGATCACCCTTAGCTGGATATAGTCTAAGAGTGCCTCCAAATTTCTCTCATTTTTTTTTTTTTTTGGATAGGAAACGATAACTTTCATTAGATAAAGCCAGAAGAACAATTGTCACCTTCTAAAGTGAAAGGTGACCCCTGAACAAAAAAAAAAAAACAACTTACAACATTGCCCGAAACAAAATTTTTTTTTATCAATAACACATTTCATTAATTAATCATAGAAATAATTACAAAGGGGAATATAAACTTTCTTATCTTCCAGCTAAGGCTTGAGCCCCCAAAAAAGGAAAAAAAGAGTTACAACTGAGCCCAAAGCATAGACTTCCTCTCCACCCCTTGTTTAGCTAACCCATCAGCAAAAGAGTTAGCTGATCTTTTCACCCAACTGATCTTGACTTCCATCTCTTGAACCAGCCACCTAAATTTCCTCCTCTCATTGTTGTAATTCCATAACCCACTGTTGTCTTTATTCAGCCACCCTACCACCACCTCTGAGTCCCCTTTCAATTATAAGTTTTCTTATATTTATCTTCTTAGCTCTCTAGACTCCTTCCATAACTGCATAGGTATCGGCTTTGAGAGAGTCATCCCTAAACAAAACTTCATGATTCACCCCTTGCTTTGCTAGGTTGTCAACTAAAGCATTTGCTGACCTCCTGGACCAATAAACTTGTGCACCCAGCTCCCTTGTGAGGCTCAATAATTCCCTTACAAGTTGTCTAAGGGACCACATTCCCAAACTATTTGATTGCAGCCAACCTACTACTAATTTTGAATCTCCCTCCACTTCTAACTGTTGAAAGCTAGGATTTTTCCTTCCGCATCTCTAAACACACTCCCTATTCCAAAGGGTCTAGGGTTCCCAAGAGAGCTGCCATCAAAGTTCAGTTTGACATTACACTACAAAGGAGGGGACCAAACTGCTTGCATGGTAGGTGATGAAGTAGAAGACCTTGCTAAAATACTCCAGCCTCTAGTCAAATCATCTATGGAGACATCCTTGAACAAGTCAAGAGTTTTCAACCAATGTATTGCCTTGATGGTGATCCCTTCAATAACTTTAAGAGCTGATTTTTCTTTCCCTTGGAAAATCCTATTATTTCTCTCTTCCCACACTACCCACAAGATAGTTGCCCTCGTTGTTCTCCACATCACCCTTCCTTTCTTCTTTGGTTATCGGAAAAGGCTAGGGTTAAATAATTCCGCTACGCTTGTAGGGGGGGGGGGGGGGGGGGGGGGGGAGTCCACCTACAATCAAAGAGTCAAAGAGAGGGGATTTCTCTCCTCATCTTTGAAGAGTCTTGCATTTCTTTTTTCCCAGACTGTCCAAATGACAGCAGCCCTAATGCATCTCCATAAAATTATGCCTGAATCAGGTGGAGTTAGGACCGAGTGATTTAGGTTATGTGTAGTTGGTGGTGTCTTTTTAAGGCCAATGGATGTTTGTGGTATTTGCAAATAGGTGGAGGCGCAAATAGTAGATCTCCAAGGTGGTTGAAAAATAAGCCAAGGTAGAGATTCTTAGGGTTGTGTCTTATTTTTTCAACTGTTGGATTAGTTTTTAATCTAATGGTTGGTGTGGTCCATCCTTAGGTTAAGGTGGGTTTTACATATAAAAGGTTTCTTTTGTATGTAGGGTTTAGAGAGAGAAGAAAGAAAGAAGTTTACTCGTTTTCTTGTTGGAGAGAAAAAAAAAAGGGAAGTTGAGAAAAGGAGGGTGCTCTTGGTGTAAGAGTGGGTTTTTTTCTCTTGTTTTTGTTCTTTGCATTGAGAGAGGAAAGGGAGAATAGGTGTATAAAGGTTAAGGGTTGGTTTGGGTGGCAAGCCACAAGGTACCCGTACAATTTCTCATTTTCTTAGTGAAGAATAGTTTTTGTCTCTCCCATGGTCATAGGCAGTAAGGCCAAACCATGTAAACCCTTTATGTTCTTGGTGGTGCTTATTTTTATTTGTCTTTGCTTGGATTTTGTTATTTTTGTTGCTATTGGATTTTCTTGGTTGCCACTTCATTTCAAATACTGTGGTTTTAACCCGTGGGTGGTTGTTGTGAGCCCCAACAATAACTTGATTAACAAAAGGACATCTCAAAAATGCAGTAACAGCATGCTATTCAATTTTCAGAGAAATTAATAGAGAAGGGAAGATTATTAACTCAACATTCAATTTACTTTCTAAGCACTTTTTTTAGATGCTATCTTTTCATTTTTGTATGACATACCTAGAGGGATGGGCCACACATGATCAAGAATACTGTAAGCATGATTTTTTTCAATCCTTTGCCATCATTTAGTATGTTATCTTTCAATTTTTTTATCAGTCATATTCTCCTTCAATTTGCTAATTAATGCATAATTTTGTGGTTTTTCCAATTTCGGTGACAGAAATTTCCTATGGACATTGCATCAAGAGAGAAATTTGATATAAACATACTGCATTGTCTCTTCATAGCATTCTGAAGCTTTCCCTTCCGAAGGTTCTATCGTCTATGGGAGAAAACCTATGACCCAAATATTGCAGTACAAACATTTCAACCATCATAACAAGGATACAGTTCCACACTGATATAAAATTAGCTTAGCTATTATCACCAACCACATTTGCATGCTATAATGTGGTTATTGTGGATTTGCAATTGCTTATAAAGTTAAATTCTCACAGAAAAAAATAAATGCCTAGTTGAGAGGGACCACAGGATAGCTTAAATTTGACATGAATCCCAACAAAAAATTTCTAACCTTGAAGATTGTAAAATTTATATATCCTATGAAACGAATCCAGACCCTGGTAGAAAACATTAGAGACATCCCAAAAACAGTCCAGGACTACAATGTAGAAAATCTTAGAGCATAGATTTAAACCACGTAATGTCCTAAGGATTGATATTTTAAAGAGAAAACAAAACAAACCTGATTGACTCAGGCTCTACTCTACTCCTTCAGATACCAATCAGCAGCTAGCTCCCCGTTTCGGAAGAAATATAGATATAAAAAACCCAGAAGCAAAGAAAATATTTATACCAGAGGTTTTATCTGCAAAACTGTGCAAACCCAGATGAAAATAAATTCAACCCATCAAAAGACCACAGAATAAAGAGATAGTTAACAATCTATACCTTGCCCAGTAAATATAAAATATCAATCAAATCTCTCAAAACCAGAAAAGTGGGAAAAGAACACCAAAACCAAGTTAAATAACAAACGAGGAGGTGTAAGAAAAAAATAAGAAAAAAACTAGAAATGTAACTTGGGGAAAATAAATACAAATTTTCAAAACCAAACAATGAAAAAAAGAGTGAAATCACATGACCCATTAAAGACAAAATCAGAATAAATCTTACCAATAAGCAGAAGAAAAAATGACATAGACTGCAATTAAACAAGTACTATTTGTTATTTGAGGAACCCACCAATGCTCTTTCCTTCCCCCTTAGAAGAATTCGCCCAGAGAATCCAGACAGAAAATCTTCAAGAACAATCAAATCTCACACGCCAATCTTCCTCGAAGCCTGTTTTCTCCTTCACAATCAGAGAGATTATTGAACCCAGAAACAAATTTCCCCAAATCAAAAATGGCAATTTAGGAAGTGAAAAGGAAAACAAAACAAAAAGGAATCCTGAGAGAACCAAGTTCTAGCTTACAGGCGGGATAGCATGCAAAGGCAAAGCCGGCACCTCTGGCAAGTCTTCTTGTTTTTGGGAAAAGGATCGGTGTTCTACTCGCGCGAGTAAGAGAATATATCTACGCGCCAATTATGTCAGCCACGTGTAGGAACGAAATTGTTTAGGTAGGTACCATCAGGGCAAAGTCGGGAATTCGCATCTCTTACTTTAGAGCGCTTTGATCAGTAATGACACCACGTGTATGAATCTGCTCCTCGCAAACGTGACGTACATACCCTGCTTTTTGGGAAGTGAGAAATACAACTTGTGCGCGTGACACGTGGCAGGAAGCTTGACATTCAATGGGCCCACTGAAAGAAAGAGATCCTACGATTTAAAAGTTGGTAAAAGTGATTAAAGCAACCTTAGCCGTTGAATTTTATACATTATTTTTTTAAGGTAATTTTATACATTATTACCTGTTATGGGCCGGGCTCGGGCTAGGTCTTTTGCCGACATTTGATTTCGGCCCAAAGCCTGACCCATGAAATTCCCAGAGATTAATGTTAGTTGGGAGTTCTTAAAAATAAACGTTGTCTTATTCGAATATAAGTATTTATTTTGGGCCAGAATTATACTAATCTATACTACTTTAAATCTATTATTTTAAAAAGAATGGCAAATGAAGGTAAATAAGGTAATTGATTATTGATATTAAATGAGTTAAAAAGAAGTAATTTTAAGATATTCAATGCATTCAATTCCCTTTCATTAAATCTAACATTTAAGTTATTAACTTGCATTCATGTTCATTGAATCATATATTTAAGCCATTTTTGTTTCTTCTCATCATTAAGTTCTATTAATTAAATCCATACTTAATAATTTAATAATTTCAATAACATAAAAAAAGTTTATACTTTTAAAATCTACCCAGAAAAAATAGTGTTTTCATCTACGTGGCGGTAAGAAATTAAACCATTTTGGGTCAAATGGGTCAATCCATGTTGCCACAATTAAATAATGAAAATCAAAATTAGATAAAATAAAAAAAAATCAAAAATTAAAAAAATTGGGAACATTTTTAACATACATATGAAACAATAATAAGTATGATAAATAAGAAATGTTTTTATTGATGATGGAAATGAAATGTTGTTGCCACGATTAAATAATAAAATGAAAAAATAATAGAAATTAAAAAAAATTGGGAACATTTTTAAACAATAATAAGTATGATAAATGAGAAATGTGTTTATTAATAGTGGAAATGGAATGTAAATTTTAAAACCAATTGGAAATAAAAAAAAAAATTTCTTATTCTCTTTCATTAAAACCTATATTTAAAATATATTTTTCTCATCGTTAAATTCTTGTAATTAAATTCACAATATTAATTTTAATAGTATAAAAATAAATATTTTGAAAAGTAATTTGAAAACAAAACCATTTTCTTCCCTCCTAGTGGTGGGCAAGCAATTCAACCATTGGGGATCAAATGGATTAATAAATAATGCCATAATAAAATAATAAAAAATAAAATAAAAAGTATGAAATGTAAGAGGTATTTTATTAATGATGAAAAATTGAATGCCAAATTTAAAATCTACCTAAAAATGAAATAGTGCCATATTCAAATAACAAAATTTGTAAAAATAGAAAATATAAAGAATCACTAAAAAAGATAGAGAAAAATTTGGGCACATATCTAATATTATATATTTATAAAAAATAAAATATTGGGTACATCTCTAATATTATGCATTCATTATATTGAACAAAAATAAGTATTATACATACAAAATAATTTTATCAATGATGGAATTGTAATACAAATTTAATGTCAACCTAGTAATCAAATTATTTTATATAATGTAAAATAAATATATAATTTAAAGGGAAAATTATAGTTAAAGTTAGTTGTACATTTTAAATTAGGTTTCAGGTTGGTCTAGAAACCAACAAAACTTTCAAATTAAAAAAAAAAAAAAAACCCACCATGTCATCAAAGGCTTATATGGCCATTGCCAACATGGGACTCTTAATCCATGTTGGACACAACAAAAAGCCTATACTGAAAAGAGGTTTTCAGTTTCTCTCCCATTCCCTCTGTCTCTTGATTTCCCTCCATTATCTCTCACTCTCATAGGTGGCGTTTGATTGCACTTTTCAGACGTTTGAATCTGAAAATGATGCTTTTCATACGCCACCTTTGTTTGGTGTTGCATCTGAAATAGGGCCTGAAAACTGTTTTTTTTATATGAAATTTTTAGACTCAGGCCCGTCACTTAACGCGTTCAAATGCATTTCAGATGTGGCCAAAAGTTAAAACTACCCCTCCCCATTCAACCTCTCTCTCTCTCTCTCTCTCTCTCCGCCCTGTCTTCCCACTACTACCATCACCGCTACAACCTGCAGCAGTGATGGTTCGGTGAGTAATAATAATATTTTTATTAACTAGTAAGTTTTAATTATTTCATTAATTTTTAAAAGTTATTTTAATTTTTATTTGTGTAAATTATTAATTATTTAATATTTCTATAGTCATTACTTTTTTTTAATTTTAATCATTTCATTTATTAATTAGTAATTATTAATTATGATTTTTTTATTTGTATTGTTTCAATATTATTTTGATGTTGAAAATTATTTTTTATGAGATAATGCAAATTGAACTCAACATTTCCAAATAGTATGTTCTAGGGGTAAAATAGTAAAATCAATAAATTTCATATGGTAAAGGGTTGATCCAACACAAACAAACTTATGGATTTAGATCCTCTAAAAAGTAGAAAAGCATCTATGCCTCTTTTTAGATTTTAGACACTTTTAAAATATTTTTAACTTTTCATATTTGAATTTTCAAATTTATCAAATGCCACCATAGTCACCTCTCAATCTCCCGCTCCCTCTATCTCTCCCACTCTCTCAACTTCAGTCTATAGCCAAATCAAAACCTCTCTCTCTCTCTCTCTCACTGAATCTATTGTTCTCCCTTAGTCTTTCTCCTGCTCCCTCTTTCATTCTTTTTTTTTTATTTTTCTTACAAAATTATACAATATTAATAAGACCGTATAAGAGAACTAAAGGGACCAACCACTTGTACAATCAGGTTATAAATTTCTATCAAGTTGGTGTAAATTTCATAGCTAAGATTTTTCTTGTGAATTTTTATCAAATTGGTGTAATGATTTTTGAACCATACCAAATTGATCTCATGTTCTTTTATACAATATGATTAATGCCATATAAGTGTGTAAGAAAAATAAAAAAAGAATGATAAAGGGAGCGAGAGAGAAAGAGAATGAGAGAGATTGAGGGAGAACAGTAGATAGATAGAGAATAAGAGAATTGATAGAAAGAACATAAATATAGAAACCAAAAAACCATTTTTATTTAATTTAAAATCACATACTCGTTGAGTAGAGAGAGACGACTCTGAGAATGAGAGAGAGAGAGAGAGGGGGGGGGAGGAAGGGAAGGAGGGAGCCAATTGTTAGAGTTTTGTTAGTTTTCAATGACATGGCGGGGGTTTTTATAATTTGAAATGTAGAGCCAATTGTTAGAGTTTTGTTAGTTTTTAGACCAACCTATAGCTTAATTTTAAATGTACAACTGGCTATAATTTTTCCTAATTTAAAACTAATATGAAAGAAAGGTTAATTTCTTATCTAGATGGTGGATCAATGATCCAACTTTTAAAAAAGCTCATGATGTCATAATTGAATATTAAATATTTAAAAAAAAAGATAGAACACCAAAAATGAAAATGTACAGAATTTTGTCGAAAACGTCTAAAAACTTTTCTAATGTTATATATTCATCATATTAAATAAAAATAATTATTAAAATAAAATTTATTTTTATTTATGACAGAAATGGAATACAAAATTTAATAATAATAATAATTGATGATGCGCGATCCGGTCGCGGCCAAGGGGTCGGGCCAAATCTCCCTCCATCAATAATAATAATAATAATAATAATAATAATAATAAGTGTTATTTTTTACAAGCATTTAAGTTTATTTTTAATCATATTGTTACTTTTGTTAATTTTCAATTTCTATCTTAACTATGATATATCTAAAATCAAGTAATTAATATGAAGAAAAATTCCTCATGTACAACGCATGTGCTTAATTATTAGTAATTAATAAATGTTCATTTAGGAAATAAGTCCCAATAAGTATTTATTCTTGAGAATAATTACGTATTTGAGAGAAGTCTAAATTTTAGGTTTATTTTTAAGTATGTATTTAAAAATAACTTATTTTCTTTACAGCCTTCTAGCCTCTCTTGGCTCATCACATCATTTTAAAATACTTACTAGCGAGGGGCGCCTATACTAAGCACGGGCGATGATCTAACATCAACAATCCTAATCAGTGAATCAAACCACAGTAGGAGGAAATGCTTATCATTTTAGAATAAATGATCTAACACCAACAAAAGCATGATACAACACATTAGAGATAAGAGAGAGAAAGGTAAAGATCATTTGAAATTAGTAGGTAATAATGATGAGCAAAAATAAACATGTAAAAAAATAATAAAAGACAACTACAAAACCATCACCAAATACTAAAATACTGAAAACCATCACCAAATCATAAAATCAGTAACCAATCATAAAATGGTTGGAAAATATGTAGGGCTGGACCCTTAATAGCATCCTGTACATTAACAAACAACAAAACACAAAATGCTAAATCTGTGAAGATGTCGATTATTATAAATCATAATATGTAATTAAGTAAAACTAAATGACAAATTTCAGTTAGCAGGATTTCCAACTACTAATATTCCCATTATAGTAAGAAAAAAAAAGCTCCATCAACAACAACACAACAGTCTCAAGTTATACATTGTTGGACTTCTTTCTAAAGAAAACATACATTGATATGATAGTGAAGCAAACCCGTGACATTAGTAAGTTATGAGTTATGACTTGTTAAAGTACACCTCTTATTTAGAATCAATTCTTATATATTAGCCCATCATTAATTGCCTTTAAACTGACCAACTCCAACAATATTCTTTATCAAGAGAAGTGGATGGGTTATGTTAGCATTTT